TTAAAATTTAATCTAACAAATGTTTTTAGTCACTTTACTTATCTACTACCAAAATCGTGATTATAAGAACTATAAGACTTTTTAAGTTCCTTTTTGGAAAATAATACTTTTTTTTGTACTTATTTAGATTTTTTTTTTGTATGTTCCTTTTTGCTTTACTCAAAATACATAATCTACTTGCAACAAATCCATGCAGAGAGAGCCCTTACCATGCTACGAAGAAAGTGAAAGGGGTAGAGAACCCGCACCAGCAGAAGAAAGTAAGGAAAATTACTTTTATACATTCAACGTCGGAAATGAATTGGTTCTGAAGTTATATTTCAGTTTGCTTTACAACGACGACGTCAGGAAAACATAAAAAAATGGGAAGGAAAAATATAAAAAATGAACGAGGAGTCTCATTGACGTTGTTGTTGTTATTGTTGTTGTTGTTGACGTTATACTTGCTTTAGTTCATAGTCTCTGTAGTTGTCGTTTTACTTGTTCTTGTTCTTGCTCTTGTTCTGGTTTTGGGTCTTGTTCTTGTTCTTGTTCTCATTGCTGCTTGCTGTCTTTGTAGACGCAAATGCATTACGACAACTTGACAAGCTCCTCAACAACTCAAGAACACTTCAATTGCAGTAAAAATAGCGCTTCAAAAATGAAAATGTTCTTTATACAATAGTTAGGCGGCAAAGGAAACAGTAAAAAATTCGTTAGTACATAAAAGTACTGAAAAGAACTTTGAAAAAAAAATGATTGAAGGAACTCTTATAAAAAGAATAACAAATTTGTTATACTTTTCACACAACTCAAAAATGCACAAGCAGCAATAAATAATGTTAGAAATTAGATGATAAATTGCGCACAACATAATCCAATTAATTTAAGTTTTATTAAAGATGAGTTTAGCATTTTTTCAAGATATCAATCAAAATAAAAAAAGGAGAAAAAATAGTACAATATACGGAAACACGTAAAAAAGTAAGGAACAATCATAGAAATGTAACAAGAAAGTAACTAACACTAGAAACACTTTTGAGATAACAGATAACACTTATTTCTTAATAAACCACAATAAATTGTGGATTCAACTGAATAATTAATACAAGGTGGTCCAAAATATTAATTACTGTATAATTTTGCTATAAACTTATTACTATTACAAAGTTAAAGAAACTTGTACTGCAACCTAAGACTTTTGTGCCCTCCTCATGGACCTAAAATACTTCTCCAAGTCTAACAGCCTTGATCAATTTTAGTATTGAATCCACATTACAACATTTTGTTTCAGATACTTCTTTCGTTTGAGCATCAGTGCCGGGCAAATTCCTAGCATATGTTTTGAAGTCACATACAAGTATCTTGGAAATAAATGTGTAGTTTAATAAACTGTAAAACTGTACAGTTATTAGTTATAAAAGCAAAAGATTGACTTACTGGAAACCCACACACATGTTCAATAATTTTTTGGACACTAATACACAAGTACCAATAAGCAAATAGATTTATATCAATTGGTCTATCTTTATATAACTTTAATGGATCTGGTACATATTCAAATGTGTACGTTAACTAACACTATCTAGTGTAGGTTAACCAACACTATCGACAACTTTCCAAACAAAACACTAACGGAACATAAACGGAGCAGAATCTCACAAAATATGCTAAGGAAAAAAATTATGATTACAGATATGGAACATTCTTGAAATGTAGGAAGGAAACTTTAAGACATATGCTTTATTAGCACGCTCAGCTGATACAGTTCAAATGTTTTGGTATGACTCAATGTCACAATTTCGCTGAACAAATATTTGCAATGATGTAATTCAACCCCTCTGGCAACTAGCAAATACTGTTACAGATTGTGTACGCAGTCTTTAATATAATAGGGTTATAATTTTATCAGTTATGGTTGTAACTAGTATCGCTTAAGATCTAAAAATTAATACATGCAACCTGATATCTCTCAGTTCAACCTACATCACTGTTGTTAACCTACTGAACTACTAAGACAACCAACAAACACACCCAAAACAATAAGTCAACCCACAGTGCTCAATAGGACTACAGTTGTAACTTTCATATCTCTTACTACTATTGTGAATCGAATATGTACCCCGCGTACATATTTAAAAACCTTTTAATACAAGCTGTAATTAACCGTCAGTTATGACGGAAGTGACTATAAAGCTTGAAAATTAAATAGAAGATCAAGGTTATCAAGATTTGAAATTGTTTGCGATTTTATTCTTCGTTAAAGTTGATAAAATTTTGAGAAAATATTAGAAATTGATATTATTTAAACAGATTTATTTAATCTATACTTTATTGGCACTGATTTAATAAGATAACCACCATCAAAATCACACTATTTTACTTTTCTTTTCATAATCTATCTATTCGAACTCTAGGAAGATTTGCGGTTATACTCTGCAAATAGAACAAGAAACCTACGACAATATTAAAAACAAAGAAATAAATAATTAAAATAAAATAAAATAAAAGAAATATAACAACAAAAACAGCTACAACAGCAGCAAGTGCTTGTAACAACAACAGAAACCTTTGTGACTTCACTGACTGATCCAGTCTACTTTAACTCTCACACATTTGCTGTTGCGGTTGGTGTTATAATTTTTGTACCATTTGTTGTTATTATTAGTGTTGCTGGTGCTGGTGCTGGTGCTGGTGCTGTTGCTCTTGCTGTTGCTGTTACTCTGACGGTTTACACTGCAGCAATGGCATTGACATTAGATTCAGACAACTGGTTTATTCAAGGTTCTCAGTGCGGCTCTTAGTGTGCTTAGTAGACTGTCGTCAACTATGCTGTAGGAGATAGTGAGGATTATGTATGGTAAGAACTATAATAATGTATATAATATGATGTTATAAAATAAAGCAATGAGTAGAGACATTAAGGAAAACAAAAAATAAAATAAATAAATAATATATCATAAAACATCTGAGAGATTAAATTACACAAATTCTAGTTTGTCTGTTTTCGTGGAAGTTGTGTGTGCCGCCGTTGATTGTATATGTCGGCTCCTCAGCTCCTCACATTGTTTTGATAGCGTGATTTTATTGTTTTGGTAGCTTTTCACTGAAATATGCTGTGAATTTATTTCATTTTCTGACTGCCAGAAAAAAACCTAACGTCAGTCATGAATGTAAATTTGTGAAAATTGCACATCTAAGGCGTTTTTGCATTTTACTTTTATTTCATTATATTTGCTTAACGATGTGAAACAAACAGAACGGAAGGATGATGCATACACACAGTACATACAGAACAACACTCAGTTAAAAAGGATGATACGAAAATATTAACAAATTGATGGATTTACTTGAATACTCTTGTGTGAAGATGATTTGTTAAGTATATCAGCAATATAACCAACACAGCTATACTTTACGTTTTGCAAATAAAATTTAAATGGAAAATATTCAAAACAATATTTCATTACTGAGTATATAAAAAAGAAAGATATTTTTTCCAAAGTTTCACAAAATTAATAAGTGTTGGTGTATATACTTCACTTTTAGTTCAATTTATTTTTTTTCAAGCATTTCGTCCGTACCCCTTCAGTAAGTGCAGAAAATCTACTACAACAGGATGTTATTACTATAATCAACAAGATGTTTTAATTAGATATGTAAGATGTTAGATATCAAATAAAAAAAAATTTCTCACAAAGATAATGTGGTATATCACGTCATTGACTACGATTACTGTTTCTATTTTTCTTAGCACTAACTGTTTACCATATTTACGACTTTTAATAATTACAATGAATAAATAATTTTTCATTATTGATATCAAAGTTAATTTTATATATTATTATTTTTAAACCGAGTTCAATAGTTTTTAAATTTTGGCAATATTTTTACTATTTTATTATTTATTTTTGTTATCCGAAAATATTCGTAGAAACTGCTGATTCTACAACATTGCTTTTGATTTCATAAATTTAATAATTAATCTTCTTCTCTATTTTCCATTAATATTATACCATATATTAGGTTAGGTTAGGTTATACCAGCGATCCCTACTGGATCCACTTAGGAGAAAACTCAAGGTTTAAAACACCTTTGGCGAAGCATAAAATGCTTCGTGTCAGGTCCTGTAACTGGTTCAGGTCCTGAAGAAAGGGGGCTCCCCAAGTATTAAAATGCCGCCGTGCATAAGCTGGGCAAAAACACAGTAAATGAGAGGCATTCTTATCGTCTTCCTCACAGCTACGACAGATTTGATTGAAAGACCTAATCTTCTAGCATGGAGAAAACTCTACTGCCTACATCACTACATGTTTTGAATCCGTCATCTAGAAAGGGATCACCTGATGTCCATACCTCTCTAGATGGAAATTCGACATTAAATTTTCTGTCAAAGTTAAGAGTAGGAGAGATGTATTTAACGTTTTTTGGAGTAAAATTAAAAAGAAAGAATTAATTGTGAGGAATCCACATTGTGAGGTAGCTTTTAGTCTCATAATATCCATTGGCAGTAACTGAAGCAACAAATCTAGTGCAATAGATATTATACATTACGAAGATATATATTCAACTTATAACACCTTTAAAGGGAAATTATTGATTTAAATGAAAATATCATTTTCATTTAAATTATTTATATTTTATCATATCCACAAAGCAGATGCAGAACTTGAAAGTAAAATAGTTAGATTTTTATTTGATTACAAAAATATATTAAAACCTTATAGCATTCATATCAATGGTATTTAGACAAAATCTATTCAGTTAAGAATGGGAAGTACATATATAAAATGACAAACGTACCAATTATAATACCAACAGAATTTTAAATTATTTATACTATAAAATTCCCCTGCAACAACGAAAGTACATAGTTTTAAGAAGATTTAAGTACACAAAGAACGAAATTTAATTTTCTTTTTAAAATATAAAAGCATTTGCTGATAGATAACTCAATATTTGTATACTATTTAAATATATATCAAAAGTACATAAAGAAATTTTTATTTTTATAAACTCACTTGAATCCTTTATCGTCGTCGATACCATTGACAACGCCATTCGAGTTTGTGACTTGGTCGTCTTTCTTTAAACCGTTCGTATCAAACGGAGAATTTGCTTTTTCTTTATCATCATGAGACTGTAATAAGAACATAAAAACATAAAAACATTAAAACACATTAGTAAAATAGTTTCTCCATGCTGTATTTAATTTACTCTACTCATCAATTCCTGAAGTTAAGCTTGTAAAGGAACTGATAAATAACTTTAAAATTATAAGTAACGAGTAGTAAAAAAATATCGAAAAGAATATTTAACAAAAATTTAATATAAAAAAGAAAAATTTTTTTATATTTAAAATAAACTAAAAAGAGATCAATCAGAACGAAAAATAACTTAAAAACGCAACAGTTTTATTGTTCACATTAGTTGGCAATAAACATTAGTGTAGTTCGTAAAATTTTTTGATTCTCTTCAACTGATGTAAATAAACATACTGTTGCTTTTCATAACTTCTTCTGATACGGGTTGTGTTTATAATTCATTTCACATTATATCATATGATGTCAATCATAAGTATATTATTATTTATCGGTTTTTACTTACTTTATCGTTATCATCAAATTTGAGTCCCCTCAAGCGCGGTTCTAGTCCTGAAAGTGGACTTTCTTTATTGGTTGGAGAACCTCCCAAAACGTATTCAACCATTTTCACACCCAAACCGCTAGTTGAATCACGTGGGCTGCAAAAATAAATAAATATATATATAAAGGTTATTAAATATTTGATAATTAATTGTTTTTAGATTATTAAATATTTTAGAAAATTTTATATTAAATTTTCAAACTATCTTAATATTATATACATATATGTTATAGACCATATATTTATATTTGTATACAGATTTCTAAACCTACATACAGAATTGGAATTTTTAGTAAAATGTATAAAACAAAAGACAATTGTATCTGGACAATATCCAGATATTAATAGAGCTTTAAGAGATAAGGTATAGGCACCACATAGCACAAAATTATGACTTAAGAAATTAAAAATATACCTATATGAAGAAAGTGCACGTTAAAAAATAGTTTAAAAAATATTTTTTATTTTTAATAATTTTTATTTTAATCAATATATCCACTATATTCTAAAGTCATCTTTAGGGTACTATTCTATAGATGAATATAGAATATAGTCGAAATATTGGTTTATAAAAATTTTTTAAAATACATTACTTATTTTTTGAAAATATATTATTTAACTATTGACCAATTAGCCCGTTCAAAAACAAAATTATTATTAAAATATTTTGGTCTTTAAAACAAAAATATTAATAAATATTCAGATTTATAAATGAAACCTAGCTGATTTATAATAAATCACAAGTTCAGTTTAAAAACAAAAATATATACATATAATTCAAATTATAATATATAATTATAATAAAGATATATAATTATAATAAAGATATATAATTATATTTAATATATATAATTATAATTAATATATATAATTATAATTAATATATATAATAATAATTAATATATATATTTATAAATTATAATTATAATTAATTATTATTATAATTAATATACAAAATTAATATGTTTGATATGATATAATGTTTCGCTTCATATCTGCACTTTGCGTTACATACCTTAAAATACCAGCATTAGTGCTAGAATTCGTATCTGGAGCTTGTGGAAAAGTTCGTGGCCTTGGTGGAGCTAAAATGTTTTCTTGTGTCGACCAAGTTGAATCCTTCCAAACATGATGATCCCCAACGCCAGATATATGTAATGGGTTAAGGGGGCCGGCAGACATACTGCCCGAAGTAGTACCCTTGCCATCAGACTTTTCCCAAAGTTTCTTGGCAGTGGATGTGGTGATCTGCAATTAAGAAATATTATAAATAACTTTTATAACGATATATAAATGCATATCACTATGTATGTGTATGTAGTGACGTATAGCTATTAAGTATCTAGTAATTTTAATTTTTATATACTATAACTTGGCAGTTTTTTCTATACATTATATTTAAATTATATATAAAAAGAAGCGAAAAAACATTACGACAGGAAAATAACATTTCCGTCATATTTTAATTGGCAAAGTAATAAAGACAAAACTAATTGGGAAACTATAATTATTATGATAACTTCCAGGTTCACTTAAAGGCGGTGAACCTATGTTAACTCTACCCGTAGTTTAGCATATTTCTTCGCTTCTTTTTTTTCTTATTAAGTGTTAACTGCGTAATAATTTCGTATTTTTTTCTTTAGTTTTTTAATTGTGTCTTTATGTGTATGAGCGTAAGAAGCTTGTGAAGTTTAATATTCAGAAGAAAGACTTTAAAAAGTCTAAGCAGTCATTTTTTTTTCAAATAGGGCTGGCTGAACAAAGACATAAATAATGACATTACATTTTTTATTTATTTGAAAAGAATATATGTATTCATTCGTTAAGATTAAGTTAAGAACTACACCCGTTTTACATGACCTTTAGCTCTAGGAATAATTATAGAAATTCTTCATCGAAATTATCCATATGTATTACAATATATTACAATGACAACTTATATATAATTTTATATAACGGAAAAATTAGTTAATATACAATAGAAGGGGAACATTAAGTATAACTGTTGAATGATATATTTTTTTAAATTATAATTTAAAAAATTTAAGATAATAATGTAATTAGAGATTGATAGGTCGCGGTATAATTCTCTTTTCGAAATTAACGATGTACAAAATACACATCTACAATAAACCATCTTTAAGAACGAAACATAGATTTAATAAATTTTTATGACGTGTATACTGTGTAATAGTAAAAAATGTAGATATATTAGTATATTATTCAAACTCTCAACCTACGAAGGTTTTATCGATATAAAAACGGATTAAATGAAGTTTGGCTTTATTTAAAAGAAGATACCCTACGCAATAACTGTATAGAAATCAGTTAATTATTACACTTTCGTTTATTCAACAGAGAAAGAGACAGACAGATATCGCTAATTTCATTCGTTTTTTCATAGTGACGGAGTTTATAGTTTGAATAGTTTGAATAGTTTGAATAGTTTATATATTATTTAGTTGTCTGGTTTCTCTTCAGTTGTTAAATAAATCTTTAGCCCCTTCACCACCACGAGGATCGCTATTTTTATTGTGATCATTGGCAACCCTAATTTTGTAAGTTGCTGGATAGCCTTTTTATTGGAAAATTTAACACCTGTCTTATTCAGATCGTTTCAGATGATGTTTACAATGACTAGGAAAAACTATAGAAATAACTCGTAGAGATTACTTTTAAGCTATGTAATCCTATCTCTTGCAACTGTTGAAACACTGATATGACGAGTTTAATTACGGCAGTTGTTCGCTTGAGGATAAGGTTAATTAGATTCGTATACCAGTAAAATTGGTATACCAGTTAACACTGATGTTGTGCAAAAACTGTTCAAATTAAGATCGTTGTGTCACACACTATGGGATTAGGAAAACCGTAGACATTAGCTTGCCAGCATATATAAAATGTTGCATAATCATTTGGTCCCAAAAATGATCTGTGCTAGTTGGATTTCAAATTACTTGACAAAAAACTCAAAAAATGATTATGTCAATTAGCGAAAAGATATGCTTAAGTTTATTACAATGGTAATACTTTAAGAAATATGTTACAAAAATAAAAAATAATAATGGCTGATGAATCGTGGATCTAAGCGATGAACTAAAAACTAAGCAGCAGTCGACTATGTGAGTATTTTATGAGCAATCAATCTAACAAAACTTGTTCCCAAAAATTTCAAAGCAAATGGTCATCCGTTTATTTTTTATATGTATCGTACAAAACATATTATATAAAACAAAATAGTCAATTCTGAATGGTTAGCTAAAATCTGTTTGACGGAATTATCCGAAGAAGTTAGAAAAAAGGCAGATGGTTTGAACACATGTAAAAGTATATAAATCATAAACAAAAATAAATTGAAAAATCAAATAAAACTATTTTCAGGAACATACAACTATTTTGTTTTTTATGAGACTTGCAATACGTAAATATTATAACTAGTGATCCTAGTACAAACATTATGATAAGCTGAATATACCGAATTTACACTGTACGTTAAATAAATGAATACAACAGAAATGATAAATAGATAAATGATTATAGATTAGGATATACAAAAAAAAAGCTTCTAATTAGTTAGAGAGACACAGACAGATAAAAATAAAGTATATAACATATGAAGGAGAAGTAGGCATTTATAGGTAAATTGTTGAACATTAAGTAATTGTTGCATTTCAATATTTTATTTCTGAAAACTATAACATAACAGTCTACTAAAGTTTCCATTTCAGTTATTTTTTAGAAATACATTAGATTAGGTAATTCTGAAATAGACAATATCCAGAATAGAAATATCTGGGCAAGTAATAATGAAATAATAAACTAGTATAATGATAACTATAAAAAAAGGTGATAAGAAATCTACAAATTTAATTCGAAAATTTAACCGAGTGCATTGAAAGTAGGCTATTCTGAAAATTTCACATAAATCTATATTTACTTAAATTTACTTACTTACATACTTAGATATAAAAGCTATAATTATTATATATTTTATTGAATAGACACATACAAACATAAAAATATATTAGATATGTACCGCTGCGTTTGAAAATATTAGCAGAATTGTAATTTTACTTCTGTTTATAAAGTAATAAATTTTCACACTTGAAGTTTTTAAAGATTTAGGTAATATTTATAGCTGCGAAGATAGACGTGTAACCACTCAAAAGGGATAAATCGTTTGAACTACAACGGAAAAAATCAACAAGGTATAATTTCTGTTAAAGTCTACTCCAGCGGACGCAATGGCAGCCAGATAAAATACAAAAAAAGTCACTGGACAGGAAAACCGATATACAAGAACAACCACACAAAATCACTTGTGCATTGGAGTTAGTGTATCTACCTCTGGCAGGCAAGCAGGCATGCAGGCAGTAAGTGATTGACGAACAAAGCTAAATCTTTGCCTGCTTGTCATGGTATAACTAACAACATTTTTGTTGTTGTTATTTGTTAACCGTATTTATACTTTCCATAAAAAGTGGAACTGGAGGAACAGAACAGCTTATGACACTAGAATTCTAAAAATGTTATCTATTAAGGCATTGATACCAACATTGTGAGCAGCGTAGAATACATAACAACTGCACATTGCAATCCGCAGTACAGCGTCAGCAGACAGCATATTAGTGAATTCACTTGACTTAACTTTCGAAGGTACTGAGATATTAATTTCAATTTCAACAACTTTTCAAAACAACTGTCAAGGGAGATGAAAGCGCAGATTTTCATAAACACCGCAATTACTAAGGCTACGCATTATTATCAGGATATGAAACGGAGATGTATGATTTTACACATAACTATATAATGATGAAATATGCGCCGGTACAAGTATTAGAGAATTTAATAATGGCGTTGAATACACAAATAACAACATCAACATAGAACAAAATATCTAACAGGTGCATTCCACACTGAAGCATCGACTTCCACTGGCATGCAACAAATTTGCTACATGTATTAAATACACAGAACGAAGTATTTACTATATCTTTTCAAAGCTGAAATTTGTAAATTATATAAACTTTTTTTTCTACTCAATTACAATTCACGGAAAATGTTTAAAGGCAAGTAGTAACAAAGCTATTTGTGCTTTGAACGTTTTAATGACGAAACTTTAATTGCTGCAACAAATGCTTTACTGAGCTCGACTCAACTTAAAACTTCATTCATCGCAGTACATTTACTATTTATAGAGATTACATAAAAAAACTGTTTAAAGCAAAATTCTCACATATTTGCACATTTATTTGCTTTTTAAAGCATGTAAGTGCTTCACTTAATCAAAAGGTTTTCACATCCACAGAAGTGCTACTATCGTACATACATAATCGAGATCCTTTTTGTGAGCCATTATTATAATGAGATTTGCTAGTTGCAAGTTTGTTAGCAGTAGTTCCCTTTGTTGACGTGTACGAGTACACATCGTTATTACACATAATCGTCAATGTTTGCATTTTACTTTTTATTTTATACCCGAGGGAAGAAGTTTAGCAGATTGAATAACTTTGGATCTAACTAAGAAGTTAAATATTATGTGACAAATAAAAATTGTAAAGTATGTGACCAAACACTGAAGTGGAAAAAATTGAACGACAATACTGAACAAGTTTTATTTTAGAGTTTATTTATAGAGTTTTATAGTAAATTTAAGTAAAATTACAATTTAATTTCAGTAATACAGGACACATGATAAGCTTGTTAAGGTTAAATAATGCATGTAAAAATTTAAGCATATCAACCAAAAAACTCATTAAAAATTAAATATATTTATATTTTGTTGTTTAACGTCATATCTTTCTGCCGAAAGTGACTATTATATTTAATAGAACCTAGTATATTTCTTAAAGAGGTTTTTCGAACAGTAGTGAACTACAACAACAAAAATTCATTTTATGTTATTAATTTAATTAATTGAATTTTTGGTTGACCATACAGCTGTTTCGAGAATTGCCAAAAACCCATCATCAGTGGTCTTGGAAATAATAATAATAATAATTATAATAATAACAATAATAATAATTATAATAATAATTATAATAATAATTATAATTATAATAATTATAATAATTATAATAATAATAATTATAATAATAATAATTATAATAATAATAATTATAATAATAATAATTATAATAATAATAATTATAATAATAATTATAATAATAATTAAATTATTAGTAAATAATTTTTTGAGAGTGCAAGTACTCGTATGCTGTCAAATTTGAAGATCAGAGTAAGAGCTT